TTCCATCCTCAAAGTTTGCCTTCCTCCTATGATCTCTCAATCCCTTACTCATTCTTTTTGCTCTGCGCTCTTCTCCTTGATCTGATTTACCCCCTCTCCCTCCCGCTCTCGCCTTCCTCCCTCCTATCGGCCCCATTTCTCTCCCCTCCGCAGAATCACCCTTGATATCTATTTGACTGCCATCAGCCAGAGGAGAGATGAAAATCGATTCTCCTTCTAGCAACTGCTTCTCTTCTGGCTAAGGAGAAAGGGGAGGCAGTTAGCTGAGCTCTAAGTAAGGTCGTCCATCCATCTCCCTTTGAGGTCTGACGACAAGGCGGCTCTGAAATCAGTGTAGCACCGACTGAGGCTGGAGGGAGATGAAGCATGAGGGAGAGAAGCAGCCGAGGAGCAAAGACTTTGGCACAGTAAAAAAATTCTGACTTTTTCGACAAACTCCAAAGACAAAGCCCAACATAATTTCCCCCTAACAACTATATCCAGCTTAAACTCAAGGGGCCGGTGCAGCCAAACGATAAAAACATATTTTTTCACTCACAGTATCTGGCAGTGTCTAACCATGCAGACAGGTTTGGTTTAATTTTCCCAGGTTGTTAGAAATCTGTCTCTGAGGTTTCTGCCATAACCAACAAAACTGAAATGACTGAAATTTGGTTTGTGGTGCTCATCTACTATTACAGTGCCTGTTCTAAGCATAGCTTCCTGGAAAGGGCTGGTTGCTTGTCCTGTTGTTATCCTGGTTGCAGCTTTCTTTCTGAAACTGGAACAGTGAGCTGTAGTAACTGAGGCGTTGCAAGTAAAGACCGACTGTTGGTCACAGTCCACAGAAGCTGAACCACCACTGCTGCACAGAGAGCTGTTAACCTGGTTATTCAAAGTTTAGAGAAGTACACAGAACCCCGAACAGGAGAATAAGTTGTCGTTACCCTTTTTCGCGAATGCATTGTCGTTGTTAAATCAGCCTCCTACTCTCTGATTACTGTAAATGGTCACACTACCTTTCTACCTATGCCACCTCTATCACACCGTGACAACGCTGTATTTATATATAAATATAAGTAATGGAGGAAATATGTGAAAATGAGAAGCAGAATCAATACCCTCATCCTTATTTGTACCACAGAAGATCAGGGAAAATAAGAGAAATGCCATTAATTGGCTACATACAACTAGAAAATGTAATATAAGATTGACTCCAAAGAGGAATTTTCCCCTGAAAAAGATTTGAGAGCCTCTTTCTTCTTTCCTGGTTTATTATATACTGTAAAACTGCTTAGATTTATTTTCTGATCCACTTGAGTCACCCAAACCCCCCAACAGGGACCGGCTGACTTAGGTCACTCTTCACCTTTATGTAACCTCATACCTAACCATCATTTTAATGAAGAAATATAATAATAAAAACATTTCATTTTTATCATTGACTGATAAAAATTGGAATTTGAGCTTGACTGGAGGGGGAGGTGAAAAATGTATTGTACAGCTGCAGAAAGAGAGTTTTCCTCGTTGAGAGAAGTTAAGCAAAGGGAGAGTGGAAATTAGACAGCCAAGTTCCCCCAAAGAGAGAAAGATAAGCCAGACCTTATCTCACCTCCCATCTGCTGGGTCAAAGTACACCAGGTGGAATGAGTCCAATATGGAGATATAAAATTCACAAACCAAAATCCTTCTGTCTATCCCACCAATCCATATCCCTGAAGAGTTATATGAGCATCTGTGTTTGTTATTTCTGTGTTCACCGTGAAAGACGCTGACAGACAAATACAGCGATGGTGGACAGGCAGTTTTTAATGTGTTAATAGTGTCAGTGACAGTTTGTCATAACAAGGCCATTGTGTTTCTCTGTCTTCCTGTGTGTGTGTTTGCAGATGGCTGAAATAATCTGTCCTACAGGAAGACAAAGATGATGGACTTAAGCTCTAACTAGGAAGAGGAAACACTGAGGAAAGAATCCATATCAGAGACAATGACAAAAAGGAGATATAATGAACGGATAGGCCGCGGCACCAACTTCACCACAATATCTGAGAGGAAGCGTTGGGTGCAGCCCTCAGATAGATGCCGGCTCACGTTCCAGCCATGCCAGCAGACGACAACAGAGCTCTCCTCTGTCAACAGACTGCAGCTTAGGCATATTTCATGACGGGATCTGACGCAGGAGCAAACATGCCTCACAGCTAAGAGATTCCTCAAAGACGGGGCCAGAGAGCAGGACGGTACATCTCCATCTGACACCGGTCCAAGAAGAACAGAGAGCAGGGAGCCGCACACGTTCATCTCCAAAGTGAAACAGGGGTAAATCGGAAGATTAATATTCTGTTTTATATTTGTGGGCAGTTTAAAGAAGCACTCCACTAACTTCACAGGCCAAGGTCAATTTATTAATCACAGTGAGTTTTACACAGCCTATGAGGCAGGTATATTAAGGAGCTTTCAAGTGTAAAGAAAGACACTATCAAGTTGCCTTGTGGGAAGTGTAGGATCTCTGAGTTTGGACCTAACTAGCTATAGAGTATAAAACTATATCTTTTAGTAAGAAGGTGTTTCTCAAGGTTAGCTATTACGATGTTAAAAAAAAGAAATTGTGTTTTTGGTGATTTAAGAAAAGTTGTTTCCATTCGTGCTCAGATAAAAGCTGATTTCCTACTTCTTCGTGTAGAAATGGGTCAGGATGCTACTTTGGGAGACTAAAATTGGATTTGTCCACTGTGTGATCCAGAGGGAATACTAAACGACTCTCTATTTTAAAATGTAATTTGTGTTACAACATTTTGATATTTTGTTCAGTAGCATAACAGATCAGTGAGGTGATGGGTATAAATGACTCACAATGACAGAAATACAGGAATAATATTTAAAATGCTAAAGATTCATGTTTAACCATAGACTGCAAATCAGCAATCAGGGGACGGAGCCGTGATATCCTGCTGATACTTGCATCAAATAACCAATGAAACTCAAAGTTACCTTTGAGAAAAACAATTTGACGTGTACTATGACTGATTTGTAGCAAAGCTATAATCATGTAAAGATGTCTTATATTCCCATGACGGATGGCCTGGCAATTCTAATTCATTCATTCTGTCATTCAACTACATGCATTTATTTGGCTTTCGTCCAAAGAGACATACTAATGAAGAACAATCCAAGCATCAGTACATCATGAGTATATCTGGCTGTCTGATAGATTACAGAGTGAGACTGTATCCACTCATTCACTGTTGGGACTAGTCACGACATTTCTGCAGCTTTGATTTTGTCATTTTTAACAAATTATTAAATCACTGGAGGAAAATAGATGTTTTACTATCTATTCAGAAAAAAAGATAGTGTGGTGATTCACAGTGCACACATAGCAGGAGGCTGATATAACTACACCTGCAGCATTACTGTCATTACTCTCTGTGACCCCCCCCAAGACCGAGCACCAGAAGTCAAGACATGGCAAGGCAGACATGGAGCTTGTAAAACAGTCCAACAGCATGAGTAATAATGTTCATCTGTCTCCCACTGGTGTAGTGCAGGGAGAAAAGTAATGATCATAGAACTTGTACATTTAATTACAAGTGGAGTTTCCTCTGGGAGAGGACATTCCTAAAAGTTTTCATCTAGTTTATAATATTTTACCCAAAAATTACAACAAAGTATAAGGGCCAAAAAAAAGAATAAAGTTGTAATTTTATGAGAATTAGTGAATGAGAAGTTAAAATTAAAATTGTATGGGCATTTAGTCATAATAATGTGTGAAAGAAGTTGTATTAGTGCAAGAATGAAGATACAATTATGAGAACATTCATAATTTTGCAAGAAAATAGTTGTAAAATAACGTGAATTAAGTCTTTATTTCTTTACGTTTTAGGTTCATGCAGTGTAGTTTCTCAAGAAACAATTAGATTGGTTCAAGATTTTGGATCCAGAAGGAGTGAAACTCAGACGAGCATGAGTTCTCCTTCCTGGTTATTCCTAAAAAAATATTTTCTTGATTCTTGTCACATTATGACCTCTTCCTCCATAAATTATGACTTTATTCTCTTAATATTGTGACATCATTCTCAAAATCAAGAAATGTCATCAGTATGGCCCTAATTCTCTGACGTAAAAGACTAATCTACTGGAATGAAAATAAGATGAATGCACCTGTTTTAAATGAAACGGAAATGAAACCGGTCTTAGAGCTACACGAGGGCTTAATGAAGACAAATAACCAGCTTAACTTGACCATATCTGCCATCGGCTACAGAGGTCAGCCCCTGCGGTTTGGCGGTCAGAGGACCTGAAGTGAGAGAGCAGCATCAAACAGCACAAACATCTGAAACAGGATTAGAGTTGTACGCAGGTTCTGATTATGCAATATTTATCTGCTCTTTTCTCAAGGAGCACGGCACATGAACTCAGGGAACTTTCAGAAGTAAAGGATTAATTTGCACGCATTGGAATTAGAGCACAGATCAAAGCACGGGGGGCATCGTGGGAGTATCCAAAACCTCTGTGTATCTAGAATAGAGATTCTGCTTTTGCTGTGTACCACTTCTATTTTCATAATGATATGGAGGAGGGGGGGGGGACATCAAGGGGGAATTCAAGCTGGAGTTGAATGTAATTATCCACTGTGTATACGCAACAAAATCTAGCAGACCAAAGCAAAGATAGCGTACAAGTAAGGACAGAGTAAACAGCGAGGAGAACAACGTTAGTTAAAAACATACACAGGGATTTTCTTGCCAGTTCGCAGTAAAAATAAGAGTCTCAGTCTTCGTGGTGGATCTCGGCAGTTACTCTTGGGAGAAATGAGATACTAGAGAGTACTGAGGTAGACTGGGACTCGTCTCTGTGTTTATTTGTGGATTTCCTCTGTATAAACTGACACTGCCAGGCTCTTCCTTTTCTTTTACTGTACTGTTGTTTACCCTGAAGATACACAAGTTATCTGACGATCTGGGCAAAGACAACAGAGCGATTAGCTTTAACGCACACACACGCACACACATCTCTCCTCTTACCGTCACAGTCACCCAAGTGGGCCACGTTCCCCTGTTCGACATCTTGCTCAAATGGCAGTCTGCAGAGGAGAAGAGACACAGCCATTAATCAGGGGACACAGAGGCAAAGCAACGCGGCCACTGACACAGCACAGATTCTCTCTGATAGAGGAAACTATCTCGACGCTTCGGCGGAGGACAAGCTACACGCAGACACATAAATCTCTGCAGGTTCCTTTTGACACCTACATCACTGAAATCTTTGTTTACACTGTGAGAAAAAATAATTAAAAACAGAGCAGCCCTTGAGCTGCCTAATATCTCGCAATAATCATCGTTATAATTTAAAGATAACCACTTATGCCTGGAGGGTTATTAATTAAGCAAATTAATGCACTAAATTGCAGCATACTTCACATTAAATATTTGTGATATAAATATAAACTTTGTTTCCTCAAGTATTTATAGGAGCTGAAGTAGTTTCAATAGAAATAAATTAAATTCTCCAAAAATGCCATAAGGTCATCGTATGAACTTTATGAAAAACCTATTACGCTCAAACGA